ACAGCACTCTACCCAGGGCAACAGCTTGAGACTATCTCAAAAACAAAAAAACTGTGCAGGTCCGAATGCAGTGAGAAGACACAGTCAGACATGTGAAAGAAGTGCGGGCACAGTGGCTCACACCTGTAATCTAGCACCCTGGAAGGGACCAAAGCAGGAAGATTGCTTGAGTTCAGAAGTTCAAGACCAGCTAAGCAAGAAGATGACCCCATTGCCACCAAAAAAAATGGAAAAATTAGCCAGGCATGGTGGTACCTACCTGTAGTCCCAGTTACTCAGGAGGCTGAGGCAAGATCACTTGAGCCCATGAGTTTGAGGTTGCAGTGAGCTATAATGACAGCACTGTGCTCTGCTTAGGGTGACAGAGCAAGACAAGGGGGGAGAGGAAGAGGGAGGAGACTAGTGTGCTCCCACTTAATGGCACAATGTAAAGGCATACGGCACACATCTTGGGTGCAGGACACAACTACAAGAGGGACTCTACCTAACAAATGCAAACATTGCAACCTAGTTGTTTCTACCCTCCCATTAATAGGAGATTGAAAAAAAGAAAAAGGAAAAAACTATCAACCAAGAATCATATATCCAGCAAAATTATTCTACAAAAATGAGGGAGAGCTGGATAAAGATAGAAAAAGAAAAAAGTAAGACATTCCTAGATACAAAAATGGAAAAGAATTCATTACTAGTACACATATGCTCTACAAAAAATACTAACAAGAGGCTTGGCACCTGTAGCACAGTGGTTACTACCACATACACCAACGCTGGAGGGTTCGAACCCAGCCCAGGCCAGCTGAAACAACAATGACAACTGCAACAACAACAACAACAACAACAACAACAAAAAATGGATGGGTGTTGTGGTGGATGCCTGTAGTCCTAGCTACTTGGGAGTCTGAAGAGAATCTCTTAAGCCCAAGAGTTTGAGGTTGCTGTGAGCTGTAATGTCACGGCACTCTACTAAGGGTGGCATAGTGAGACTCTGCCTCAAGAAAAACAAAAATACTGTAAGAAACTTTCAGCTAAAATGAAAGAACTCTAGACAGTAACTCAAACCCATACAAAGCAGCACTTGTGAAGGTAATGACATAGGTAAACAGAAAAGACAGCATACATGTATTTTACACTTGTGACACTTGTCTTCTATATGATTTAGAGGACAGATGCATAAAACAACAATTATAAAATTGTGTTAGCATAAAATATAAGATGTATGTGCACAGCCACTGTGCAATAACATCCATACTCAACTTGTGACAAAATCACTAACATATTGGGGCTAAGTAGTTAAGGTAGTGATAAAACGCTATTCATTCTAGAAACTGCACACCTTCTGAAGAGCTATTAGGCAAATGCTTAATAAAAACATAAAAGCTGTGACTGACTTGAAGAGGTCCGTTTTTCCTTCACACTCCGAATTGTCATAAAGTCATATACACACATGGATTCCTCAGCACACAGAAAGACATCAACAATTGGGTTCTTACTCCCTACTAATCAATTCTTTAAACTTCAACTATTTAATTAACTCATGGAAGGTAAGGCTGAAAATGCTATATTATAAATTATGATACTCCAACATACCAAAACACCACACCAAGGATATTTACGTTGGTTAATAAAATAATGTATAAGAATTTTAAGAAGCTAAAAATCATTTATCAAATACTAATTCTGATAGAACAGAAACAACACTTTAAAATTAATAGAAAACCACCAAACTGAAATTTTTCAAATAACAATTTTATATTCTAAAGCAAAGTTAGACTAATGGACTACTAATAGAAATTTTTTTATTCTATTCATTCAGGTATTATTCAAGAAACATTTACAGGGCACTTGCTATATGTCAGACACCATCCTAGGAATTAGAAATGAAAAGAAGAAGTCCTGCCCCTGAGAGTATACACAGTTCATAGAAAAGTTTCCATTCTGGAATCAAAGGATTTATGAGTAGAAGGGACCTAATAGTTCCCTTATTTCACATATAAACAGACTGGGACTCATCACTAACTTAGCTACTAAGACAGACAGATATCCAGGCACACAGATTTCCCATGGCATGTGTGTGCTCTCTGCACAATACTTGTTCTTTTCTTTTTTTTTTTTTTTTTTTTGAGACAGAGCCTCAAGCTATCCCCCTGGGTAGAGTGCCATGGCATCACAGCTCACAGCAACCTCCAACTCCTGGGCTCAAGCGAGTCTCCTGCCTCAGCCTCCCAAGTAGCTGGGACTACAGGCGCCCGCCACAACGCCTGGCTATTTTTTGGTTCCAGCCATCATTGTTGTTTGGCGGGTCCGGGCTGGGGATTCAAACCTGCCACCTTAGATGTATGTGGCTGGCTCCTTAGCCGCTTGACCCACAGGCGCCGAGCCACAATACTTGTTCTTATGACTAAGAGGGATGAAGGTGCATGTTTCCAGGTGAGTGAAGCAAAGCATAGAACTAAAGGCAATATATATATAAAATAGTTATTAGTTAGCAACAGAAACCCTAATGAATATGGACAACATAAACATTTAACAATTATTAAATACCAACCATTTAAATACATATTTAACAATTTAGAGGCAGAAATCTTTAATATATATCATGAAAAAGCCCTAATTAACAATTTATTGAAGAAGTAAAATTAGGTAATATAACAGTAAGTCTTCTGGCTGGGTGTGGTGGCTCATACATATAATCCCAGCACTCGGGAGGCCAAGGCAGGAGGATTGCTTAAGTATTCAAGACCAGCCTGTGTAACATAGCGAGAATACTGTCTCCACAAAAAGTTTAAAAATTATTCAGCCATGATGGCACACACTGATTGTTTGAGCACAAGAGTTCGAAGTTGCAGTAAACTGTAATAGCATCACTGCACTCTAACCTAGCTGACTGAATGAGACCCTGTCTGTTCTCTGGTTTGTAAAATGGGGATAGTACAAGTACTTATTTCACAGGATTGTTGTGAAAATCAAGTGGATTAATATTTGAAAGCACTTAGTAAGCCTGGTACCTAGTAAACACTCAATAAATATTAGTATTCATTTATTAAATATACTGGTGTGTCACATAAAGACAAAAAAAGAAGAAAAAGAACCTAGCCTTTTTTTTTGCTTGCTTGTTTTTATTCTTTTGTTTGTTTGTTTTTGTGAGACAAGGACTGGCTCAGTTACCAGGGCTGGAATGTAGTAGGCTCATCAGAGCTCTCTACAACCTCAAACTCCTGGCTTGGCTCAAATAATCCTCCTGCCTCAGCCTCTCAGTCTTATAAGCAGCTAAGACTACAAGCTCACACTACCAAATAATAATATCATTATTATAATACCCTGAAAATTTTTCTATCCTTTGCAGAGACAGGTCACACTATGTTGGCTCAGGTTGGTCTCAAACTCTAAAACTCAAGCAATCCTCCACCTTGGGCTTTCAAAGTGCTGGGATTTCAGGAATGATCCACTGTGCCTGACCAGAACTATTTTCCTTTAAGAGATTATCCATTTTTGATGGTCTTATTTTTCTGGCAACTAGTAAAATCTAACACTAAATTGTATATTTCATTAAAAGTATTTAAAATGTATAAGATTTAATAATATGGCCCCTTTCTCTACAAAGACATATATATCTGTTCTAAAATTATGGAAACACAAACATTAATTAAATTATTAATTAAAATAATTATAGTCTATGATTTTAACTAATTAAATCATTCAGTTCAATATTTCTTTCTTTTATTTTTTGAGACAGAGTCTCACTATGTCGCCCTCAGTAGAGGGCCATGGTGTCACAGCTCACAGCAACATCAAACTCTTGAGCTTAAGCAATTCTCTTGCCTCAGCCTCCCAAGTAGCTGGCACAACAGGTGCCCGCTACAATGCCCGGCTAGTTTTTGGTTGTAGTTGGCCCGGGCTGGATTTGAACCCACCAACTCCAATGTATATGGCTGGCACCCTGGCCAATGAGCTACAGGTGCCAAGCCTTAGTTCAATATTTCTAAGATCATAGATCTTAAATATCAACAGAATATTCAAAGATGACTTTCAAGTAATTAAAGCTTACACAGATTTTCTCATTTTATATAAAATATCCTTAAACTAATTACCTCTGGGAAATCACCATGCATTGTATACATTAATGAAACTCTTTTATATTAAATTAATCATTGTCCAATACCAATAATAAAACAAATAAGCATGTTTATATCCACTTACTGCAATCTCTCTACAAGCCGACATGGATATTCCTGTGCCTTCGATTTGCTTCAGTGCATATTCCTTTTCATCTTTTCTGCACATAAACAAAAATATAATTTAATTTTTCCATATATGACTTTTAGATTCAAAATTGTAACTACAAAAACAATGGAAATACACCTAATCTCTCAGTGATATGTAAGCACTTTTGCTATGTCATGAATTGCTTATTTTTGATAATATTTCAACTATAGAAATATGAAATACCAAAAGAAATTCATGTCACAATGAAAACACCAGACAGAGCCAAAACACAAAATTCAAAATTGAAACAGAACAAGATACTAAACACAGCACTAGTTTCAAAGAATAAACAAGCATAAATATAAACTGAAACATATTGCAAGATAATTCCACTCCTGTCTTAATTATCTGGAGTCTATGAAAGCATTCTGTTGTAAACATTCACTATAAAAATAACTGACAAACATAAACTTCCAGATTTATTTGAAGTAATTTCATAAAAACCATTTATAGGACTAAGAACTCAGTAAAACACTCTGGTTCTTACCTAGGATAGAGATATTCAGAAGTCCCAAGACTTTAATCAAAAGCCTTTAAAATTGGCTGAATAAGGCTCAGCGCCTATGGCTCAAGCGGCTAAGGTGCCAGCCACATACACCTGATCTGGCTGGCCGGTTCGAATTCAACCCAGGCCCTTTCAAAAGCTTTTTGAAAAGATTTCAAAATTCTAGCCACTACCATCTTATTCTCAGGAACTGTAGGCAAAACCCATAAGTTAAAGGAGATTTTCCAAATGTAGGTGTAGATTAGGAATTCTAGAAAATCCCAATAATTCCCAGGATGCTTAACCAAGAGAAGACAGCAATTCAATAATGGTGATACATCATGTAAAAATATTAATAGGTACCAGATGACTGGCTAGTGTAACTCAGTAAGTATCCTCAAAGTATTATTAACACCATAACCAGCCACACAAAGACCACAGATGAATGCCCTAACTGTGGTTCGTATTGTGGCTTGTTCTTAAAATACGGTATAATCTATGCCCTCCAAGTTTTGTTTTTATAGCTATTTCTCATTTTCCTCCTCCTGTGCTTACTAACAGAGAAAGTAGTTTAAGATGTTATTCATAATATTTTAAAATATCATTTTAACATGCCCTTTGAAGATTTTCACATTTATCTATGTTTGGAGCAAATAACTGAGTTATGATTACTTTCTCTCACAACCAGTTTGAAAATTGTATCTACTTTTCTCCCTATATGTGGTATTCAGGAAATAATTAAGCAATTTTTTTTTTTGAGATAAAGTCTCACTATGTCATCCTCAGTAGAGTGTTGTGGCGTCACAGCTCACAGCAACCTCCAACTCTTGGGCTTCAGCAATTCTCTTGCCTCAGCCTCTCAAGTAGCTAGGAATACAGATGTCCACCACAACACCCAGCTTCTGTTGCAGTTGTCATTGTTGTCTATCTGGCCTGGGCCGGGCTCAAACCCACCAGCCTCAGTATATGTGGCTGGCACCTTACTCACTGAGCTATGGGTGCCGAGCAAATTAAGCAATATTTTGATAAATATATCAACAGAATTGACTCTAGTGCAATTATTAAAATGATGACCATGAGGGTCATTAAAAACAAAAAAAAATATTTACCATATACTACTGAGAAAATATACAAATTATACTATATAAATATATTATGTCTCTACATATGTCTATATTAATATGAAAATAATGAAAGAAATTAAAAAGTTGTGGCAGCGCCCATAGCTCAGTGGGAGGGTGCTGGCCACATACACTGAGGCCAGTGGGTTCAAAGCTGGCCTGAGCCAGCTAAAACAACAATGACAACTGCAACAACAAGAAGAACAAAAATAGCTGGGCATTGTGGTGGCCTGTAGTCCCAGCTACTTGGGAGGCTGAGGCAAGAGAATCGCTTAAGCCCATGAGTTTGAGGCTGCTGTGAGCTATAGCGCTACAGCACTCTACCCAGGACGACACCTTGAGACTCTTGTCTAAAAAAAAAGAAAGAAAGAAATTTAAAAAGTTGTGTTAAGATATAGACAGTTAACGTTAACTAACATTAGAGCTAATTTATATTGCCTTTTCAATTAGAATTAGGAGAAAAAAGGAGGAAAAAACAAAATAATTTTTTACTCAGAAAATCCTCTTCTACTAAAACAATAATTAGTGTCTTTTTTTTTTTTT